TTTTTCGTGGGGACGAGGTTTCCATTCGGGATGATGAAAATGTTCGGAATCAGACAGTGGTTGTGGTTGTACAACTTTGTGAAGACTACAAAAATCATGAAATTGTGCACTATAAAAGAGTGGATTTATGTTATGTGAATTGTATCTTGAAAAAACTGAGGAAAAATGTCTTGGTTTAAAACAGTACGCATTTGTTATCTGTCTCGAGTGGACGGTCACCTGGTCCCTCGGCTCCCTGCATGAGTCCCTCTGCAGGTTGCCCCCGCTTGCTGTTCACACGGCAGAGGCAGGGTCCAAACAGAGCGGCCCTCGAGGCCTGGGCTCAAAACTGGCACAAGGTCACTCCTGCCACATTCTGTGGGCTCGAGTGGGTCACTGGCCAGCCCGCCCGTCGAGGGGTCAGGAAATGGACTTCACCTCTTGCCTGGGGATCTGCAGAGCCACGTTGCAAGACGTTTGGATACAGGGAGGGGGTGGAGAATTGGGGCCACTTTGCCTTTGCCTTGGCCTCTGAGGAGGTGACACTGGGACCTGAATGTGGGGAGGAGCCTGGGGCCAGCTGGGTGCTTCCAGGCCCAGCAAGGAGGCCGAAGCCTGACGAGCGCAGGGAGAGTGGGCAGGGTGGCCGCCAGGGCCTTGCCGGCCGAGCGAAGGGTTTGGGCTTTTGCTCCTTGTGAAATGGAGAGGCGTTGGCCAAGGGGGGCGACAGGTCACTGTGTGGAGAATGGAAGGGCCAAGAAGTGGGCTGGCGAGGCCGTTGGCACTGGGAGAACGAGCGCGGCCTACGGGGCAGCGGGAGGCTGGCGGGGCAGGACCAGAGTGGGGCGCTCCAGGCAGAGTCGGGGCAGAGGCGCGGGAGGGGCTGGGGAAAGGCCACGTGTTCAACAGGGAGAGGGGACCAGAGCAGGGCAGCTGGCCATCCAGGGCTGTGTTTAAGTAAGTGGGGGGGAACGAGCGCGGCGGCTGACAGCCCGTGTGCCGGTGGAGAAAGTGGCCCAGCGCGTGAGGAAGAGCTGGGTGCAAGTCTGCGTCTGGCTCGCTCCAATCTGCGTAAAACTGAAAAGATGCGAAGTGCGTGGACGTGCGTGAAGAGTCCCCAGGAGGAGGAGCATGAGCCTGTCTCGGGCCGGGGCTCCGAGGTTTTCTTCTTCCCCTGGTTGCTCTCCTTCCATTCGCAGTTTTCCAAAGGCACGTGCACATTTCATGATGAAGGACTCCAACAGGCGATTTTATTCCAGCAACTGGCTACAGGAGAAACCAAGAGGAATCAATACAATTCCTAGACGGAGCAGAATCGGCTGGGGTGGGAATGCCGCGGGGAATGAGATGACAGTCACAAAAACACGCGGGAAGCTGGGGGGCTCACAGCCACCCGGACCATGGCACACACCTGGAACCCCACGGGCATTAGTGCGTGTGGATTTGGAACACGAGCATTGCTTTGTGTGCAAATAGTCATGGACCTGGGAAGACATTTGTGAGCATTTGAGTCTATCTGTCAAAACATTTATAATAATAAATATTCATTGATTCACTACTGCAACAAAGATTGGTGGGCATGGCCAGGCAGGCTTTGTCCCGAGCTTTTTGCACATTTAACCTTTTCAGCAACTCTGGGAAGTAGGGTCTGTTGACTGTTGACGTGCATGTTGCAGACGAGGGACGGCACAGAGGGGTTAAGGGATTTGCCCAAGGTCACCCAGCCAAGGAGCCATGGAGCCCCAATAGAATCCGTGCCAGCTCCTCCCCCGAACAGAGCCCCAAGTCCGCTGCTGTAGGGAGCCCGGAGTCCCCAGTGCTCTGCGAGGCCTAGGGCTTGGCAGCCTCCAGGGTACTTACTTACTGTACAAGCATTTATTGGATTTTGTTGGACACAGTGCTGGAGACACAGCAGCAAACAAAACTGAGATCCTTGCCTCATGGAGTTCTGAGGCAGGCACTCATAATGGCCCATATTACATATGGGGAAACTGAGGCACAGAGCAACTATGTGAGCTGCCCAAGTCCCCACAGCTAGGCACCATTGGCAGAGCTGGGATTGGAACCGAGGCAGCTTGACTCCCTTGGCTGCTGGGAACCACTCACCCTGGGCATCATCCTTGGGTGCTGGGATGACGTCGGGGGAGGTTCCTGACAGCACTGTATCCTCACTGCCTCTGGCCTCCACTGTTTCTGATGGGAAGTCAGCTGTTCATCTTACTGTGGTTCCTCTATATGTGACAAGTCGCTTTTGCTGTTTTCCAAATTTTCTTTTGTGTTTAGCTTTCAGCATTTTTACTGTGGTGTGCCTGGGTATTTGTTGTTGTTGGTGGTTTTATTATTATCAGTATTATTAGTCGTAGTGTTGAGACAGGGTCTCACTCTGTTGCCTGGGCTAGAACGTAGTGGCATCATCATAGCTCAGTGCAGCCTCGTCCTCTGGGGCTCAAGGGATCCTCCCGCCTCAGTCTCCCAAAGTGCTGGGTTTACAGGAGTCAGCCACCGCACCGGCCTTATTAATTTTTTTAGAGACTGGGTCTCACTCTGTCACTCAGGCCGGAGTGCAGTGCTGCAATCACAGCTCACTGTAACCTTGAACTCCTGGGCTCAAGCAATCCTCCCACGTCACCCTCCTGAGTAGCTGGGACTAAAGGCACGCACCACCACACCCGGCCTGTTTTTTAATCTCATGTTTTTTCTGTATATTTCTATTATTTTCCAATTTCCACACTAACACACACATCACTTGGGCAAATAAAGTTTGAATAGATAGCCCCACACAAACGGTATCTCCCCCAGGCTCTGCCCTTTCCCAGCAGGGAGATGGGACGTGAGGCCTGGAGGACACGGTGTGCCCACGGCGGCTCAGCAC